AGGAAATCTAGGCTCATAATTTCCAGGAATCAGAAATCCAGCAACCAACTATGGAGAGCTGGTGGGTCAGGTATATGGAGACTGGAAAGGCACTCATCATGTCTCATCTCTCTCCTGAGTGGGGACACCTGGTAGAGTCAACGGTTCCTTCTGCTTGGGGTGAACACAGAGGAGACCCTCCTGGGAGTGAAGGTAGCTGGGTCATTAGCTTGGCAACATAGGTCATTATTATTGAAAATACTTTCAGGGGCTGGTGAACTGGCTCAGAGAGTAGAGGCACTTGCCACCAAGCCTGATGACATGAATTCAACCCACGGCCCACATTACATAAGGAGAAAAGTGACACCCTGAAGCTGTCCTCCGCCGACTCCCACACTAGGGTCATGGCATGTGTGTGCCCTGACACATAAGATAAATAAATAAATGTAATAAAATGTAAATTATATGTTTATTCATTATAACTTACTGAAACATGTCCGTTCTTAACTCTTCAGCCCATTCAGTGCCCGCCCCCTCCAGGGTTTCTCTGTGTAGCCCTGGCTGTCCTGGAACTCATTCTGTAGAGCAGGCTGACCTCAAACTCACAGAGATCCGCTTGCCTCTGCCTCATAAGTGCTGGGATTAAAGGCACACACCACCATCGCCTGGCTAATTTTTCTTATTTTAAAGTAAGTGTGTGTGTGTATGTGTGTTGGATACACACATTCATGTGCATGTGCACATGCCTATTCATATATGGAAGAAGACAGTGGGTGTCTGGCTCCATCACATTCAGCCCTATTTGCATGAGGCAGGGTCTCTCACTGTGTTTGGAGCCAGGTTGGGGAGTGGGGGAGTAACAACCCTCCTTCCTGTCTTCCTTCCAGAGTTCTGGGGTTACGGGTTGCGTGTGTGTGTGTGTGTGTGTGTGTGTGTGTGTGTGTGTGTGTGTGTGTGTGTGTGTGACTGTGCACAGCCTTTTACGTGGGAGCTGAGATCCAGACTCACGTCCCTGTGCTTGGCAGCAATACCACGAAGCCATCTCGGCAGCCCTCACCTTGTATGTAACACATTATCCTTGACCACCCAAGGCTCTGCTGCATCTGCCTCCCTCTCCATCACCACCGGTGATCACCTGGCTGCACTGTTTAAACTCAGCCCGTCTCTGTAGTCTGTTGTCCCATCGTCCCTCTGTTAGATTTGCCCGCATTATATGTAGCCGCGGTTGCCCTCTCCTGCCTGTGTCGTATTCCATCACATGACTACAGCATCTGACATGTGTGTGCGTGATGAACATCTGTGCTGTTTCCAGTGTTTGGTAACTCCTGCCGGACTGAGTGGCTGTGGACTTTTGTATGTGGGTCTTGTGGGGACACACTCCCCTTCTTTCTATGAAGTAGAGCTGCGGGGTCACGGTGTGTGTAGATGCACAGTGGCTTACACACTGTCCAGGAGGGGACACCTGCTTCTGAGTGATGGGATTTCAGGGCCTGTGAGAAAAGAGTGGGGGCTTAGTTTTCGTTTTTGGAAACAGGATCTCATTCTGAAGTCCAGGCTGGCCTGAGCTCCTTGATTGCTAGGGTGATGGGCGCAGATGTGTGCCACCATGCCCAGCCACAGAGTGTCTTTTTCTAGAGCTGGGTGTGGTGGAAACACTTGCAATCCAGCACTTACAAAAGAGGAATACCAACAGTGTAAGGTAAACCTGGGCTCCATAGTGAGCTCAAGGGCAGTGTGGAGACCCGACCTAAAAATAAAAAAAAAAAAAAAAAACCAACCGTGGTGGGGCTGGAGAGATGGCTCAGTGGTTAGGAGTACTGGCTGCTCTTCCAGAGGACTCAGGTTCTATTCCCAGCACCCACATGGCAGCTCACAACTGTCTGTAACTTCAGTTCCAGGGGACCCAACACCCATGGCAAAACACCAATGCACACTTTAAAACAACAACAACAGCCGGGCGGTGGTGGCGCACGCCTTTAATCCCAGCACTCGGGAGGCAGAGCCAGGTGGATCTCTGTGAGTTCGAGGCCAGCCTGGGCTACCAAGTGAGTCCCAGGAAAGGCGCAAAGCTACACAGAGAAACCCTGTCTCGAAAAACCAAAAAAAAACCAACAACAACAACAACAAAAACCAGTGGTAATTGCACCCACAAGGCTCTGTGTATTGGGCCCTGAAGACTGAGTCAGTTTCAAGGAGAAGTTAAGCTGGGGTGTGTGGTGGAGAGTGGGGGGTTGTTACCGTCTATTGACATTAATCTGTTGCATCTGCACTTGCGTGAGATCCAGTTGGCATGGCGTCAGCTCTAGCTTTGTTTTGTTCTTTGGGGTTTTGTTGTTGTTTGTCCTTGTTAGGGCTTTTTGTTTTGTTTGCTGTGAAGAGACACCATGACCATTTCAACTCTTATAAAGGAAAACCTTTCATTGGGGCTGGCTTACAGTTCAGAGGTTTAGTCCGTTATCATCACGGCAGGAAGCATGGCAGCATGCAGGCAGACATGGTGCTGGAGAAGGAGCCAAGAATTCTACATCTGGATCAGCAGGCAACAGGAAGAGTGTGATGCTGGGCCTGGCTTGAGCTTCTGAAACCTCAAAGCCCCCCCCCCCCCCCCCACCACACACACATGCACTCCACCCCGGTGACACACTTCCTCCAACAAGGCCACACCCACTTCAACAAGGGCACGCCTCCCAATAGTACCACTCTCCATGGGCCTCTGGGGACCATTTTCATTCAAGCCACCACACTGTTGCTGTTGTTCATTTTTGAGACAGGGTCTTTCTTTTATGGCCCAGACTGGCCTCAGATTAAGCATGTAACCACAGATGGCATTGAGCTTCTGATCCTCCAAGCCTCTTCAGGCCCACCTAGCAGCTCAGGATTTGCAAAGGGAGCTGTTGTCTGTCAGGAAGCCTAGGTGTCCCCCTCTTGGTGGGATTACAGGTGTGAACCACCATGCCTGGTTTTATGCAGTACTGGGGGTGGAATCCTGGCTTTCCCGCTTGCTAGGCAACCACTCACCTCCTGTACCACATCCTCAACTCCTCCTACTTCTGACTCTGACAGGCTAGGCCCAGGGTGGGCCTTTGGGGTTCCCCAGCTCCAGGGAGGTGTTCTGCTTCAGTCAGAGGGCAGGTTGCAGTGTGGTGACTTTGTGTAGGGAGCCTTTAAAGCTCCCCTTCCCCCAGCCCCCTTTGCAGTAGAAGATGCCTTCCAGGAAGGTGGGCAGTGACTTCCCTCCTGCTGTCTCATCAGACAGGAGCCTCTGGAGGTCATTCAAAGGGGCAGGTGAGTGGTCTAGGCCTGCGTCACCTTGAGGACTATGGAGGATACTGTGCTCAGAGCTGCTGCCCCACCTTCCACCTCCCTGGAGGAGGAAGGAGCTCCTTTCCATGCTTGAGCGTTGCCTAGGTGGAAGTGGAGGCCACCTGCTAGGTGAAATGAGACATCTCATTTGTCCTCTCAGTTGACCTCATCACTTCTAGATTTGTCCCTAAGGCTGAGAAGCCTGTCCACCCAGTGTTAGCATCAGGAGAGCCCAAGTCAGGGGTGCTCTGAGCGGCCTGCATCCTCACAGGGATGGGCAGCCGAGCAGTCATCCACAGGATTCATCTCCATAGAGTCTACCCAGCCTGAGCTACCAGCTCGGCACTGCAGGTCGTCTCCCTGTGCTTGGCCTGTGTGCAGCCTGTTCCCTCAGACCCTGGAGTCCTGTGGCCTCCAGCCCAGATGATTGCTACCACCCACACAGGTTCCCTGACCAAAGCTCCAGGGAGAGCAACCCCCACTGGGAGCTGGGGACTCTGGATGAGGGCATGGCTGAGGCCGAATGGAAAGCCAGGAAGCTGTCAGCTCAGGAGCTTGACTTAGAGCCAGGTTCAGCCCTGGCTGACGGCCACTGATCCTGGGGCCATCTGGTGTCCATCTGGCCAAATCAAGGGATTGGAAGATGCGGTGGAGGGGGACACCTAGGCTTCCCGACAGACAACAGCTCCCTTTGAAAACCCAGGGCTGCTGGGGGGGGGGCCTGAAGAGGACTCTCCATGCCCCCCTCAGCATCCTGACCTTACTGCTACCATTGTCGTGTGAGTCAGTGGTCCCTGGCAGGGTACAGTAAGAAGGACACCAAAGATTACCTACCCTGGCTCCTCTACATCTTCCCTAGAGCACAGAGCAGACATATAAGGACTCTGGATGGCCCCAGCACCTACAATAGGCACATTCCATTTTGGCATAACAACACTGGTCTGGAATGGCCGGCCTAGGTATGCCAGTACCGGTGATCCATAGCGTCCCCAGCTTACTTTCCCTTTGCAGCTGAGGTGTCCTGCCCAGACTGTGTCTCTTTCCAGTCCCTGTGGCCATAGCACTCATGGTCCACAGCCGTGTTTGCGGCTGGCCGTCCTTCCTTGCTCTCCTGAGTGGCTCAGGGCTTGTCATCAGGCCTGGCCTGGACTGTATCTTCATCCGGAAACCTGGGCTGAGCCATGCTTGGCTGTATTAGTTATTTTTGTCATTACTATGACAAAATGCCCGACGAAAGCAGCTCAAAGAAGGAAGGTTTTTTTCAGCTTACAGTTTGAGGGTACATCCGTCGTGGCAGCATGGGAAGCCATCGGTCACACAGCATCTGCAGTCAGGGAGCAGACAGGGCTGAAGGCTGCTGCTCAGCCGACTTTCTCTGTTATATTCGGACTGGAACTCCAGCCCGTGGGATGGTCCCTCCCACATTCCCAGTGGATCATCCCACCTCTGTTAAACTAATCTAGAAGATTCTGGATCCTGGCGAACTTGATAATGTGCATCGTTGCAACAGCGGTCCTCCCTCACCAACCCTTCTCATCCCCGAGCCTGTCCATTTTTTCTGTCACCTCCACCCTGGCACCCAAATGTAGGGCAGGCTGTTCATTTGGAGGGCTGTGGGCATAAGGATGCAGTACAGCTCCTGGGACTCCTCACCCCACCCCACCCTCCACCCCACCCCCTGCTGGACCAGAAGCTGACACAGCCCCTCCCTCCTACAGTCGCTGCTCTTCCTGGGGGTGTTAGCTGCCGTTGGCCTGGGCCTGAACCTCCTCTTCCTTGCTGTTTACCTGGTGTGTGCATGCTGCTGCCGGAGGGACCACACAGTGCAGACCAAGCAGCCCAACTCATGCTGCGTCACCTGGACAGCGGTGGTGGCCGGGCTCCTCTGCTGGTGAGTGTCCTATGCACAGGCCACACTATGGTTTCAACTCAGCTCCCAAGGGGCCAGGTGGGGAGGGGGCACTTAACAGACACAGGCAAGGGAAAGCTAGCCTGTGACCAGGACATCCTTCGTGTCCAAGTGGCTCCTCATCAGTGACTGGCCACATTCACTGACCAAGGTAACCCCTGGATGAACAAACCTGCCTCCCCAAATGAATACTGTCCCTTTTGTGGCCAAGCATGGGGAATCAGTCCCTAGTGTAGTGATGGGGGTCTGCATTGTGGCCCCCCAGCCCTTCTACCAGACCAGGGCCAGGCCTGACAGCCATATGGGTCCCTCCCTGAGATGACCAGGTGGACAGTGGGCATCTCTTTTTTTCTGCAGCCCTGTTACCTTCCACTGCCACCCTGGGTCTGCAGAATCAGAAGTTAGCCCCAATCAGTTCCATTGTCTTGTGAGATCAGGAGGTTCATTGTCTTCTGAGAGCTACACATAGGTAGATCTTCTCCTGTGTTCTGACTGAGGAATGAAGATTTCCAGTACCATGTGAGAGCCCGCCCCACCCACCAAGCACCCAGCACCTAGCCCGTGCATGCGTGCAAGCTCTATTCAGGAGTTGGTGTGTATTTCTTGTTTCTGTGTCTGTAGACATTTTTTATGTGTAGCACCCCCTTGAGATATTGAAGGGTGTGGCCACCCTCTAAGGTAAAAGTCCCTTGTTGCTTGTCCAAAGGATTGGTCCTAGGTTCTAGTCTGCAGGAGGGTCACCTTACTCCTGAACACTTTTTTTTTTCTATAATGTATTCATTCAGTGTTTCTCAGCCATTTGGCCAAGATGGAGTGTGGTGACGTGTTCATGATCTTACGTGGGTGGGGGAGTGGGCCTCACTGACACCAAACGATAGGCCATCCTCAAAGCAGCGACCAAACGAGGACTGATGAAACTTGTGGTTGGGGCCAGGGTGTACAGGAAAGAGTTCCAGCCCAGATGGGAAGGTCATGACTTACTGGGAAGGTGATCTGACTCCCAGAGATGAGCCAGAGCTCCAGTGAGGAACTGAGGTGCCAAAAACTCTCTACCTGGTGTAGGGCATCACAGGTGGTTAGGGAGAGAGGGGACCCAAAGACACACACCAACAGTGCTTGTTCCAATGCATCGATCCCTCGGTCCGCAGGAAACCGCAGGTGCTCCTACGTTTCCAGTAGAGCTACTGCCAGATAAGCCTATTGTCAGGTACAAATGCCATTAGAGTCAAGTGCATTGAACGCTGGCTAACCCAGCATCCAAATAAAACGTCATAATTTGGTATTACGATGTATATTTTGCAGCTGGTAAAAATGGCTTTAAGTGGTCAGGTCCAATAAGTACTTATTACCTGTATTAAGAGAAACTCGAGGGGCTGAAAAGACAGCTTAATGGTGAAGAGCACTGGCTGCTCTCCTAGAGAACTTAGATTCATTCTCAGCAGCCACATGGTGGATCACAGCCAGCTGTACGTAACTTCAGTTCCAAGGGGTCCAGTGCCTTCTTCTGGCCTCCGCAGGCACCAGGCACACATGTAGTGCATAGACATACACTCAGGCAAAACACCCACACATATAAAATAAGATGGAAAAGAAAAGCGGGAGACGAGTTTTCAGAAGAAGTTGAACTGAAGACGAGAAGGAAGAGGAGGAGAAAAGCTCAACTCGGAAGGGCCACTGTGGCAGGATTCCTTCCATGCGGTATTCTACAGCGGGCTCCAGGCAAGAGGACGTCAGCGACAAAAACCAGCCTTTGCTTTCGCCACTTTTGTTTTTTAATTTATTTTGTAAGCATGCTTTTCACACGTGAAAAGCACGGGAACCTGATAGCTCCAGTGATGCTGTGGAGAAAGACGGACACTGTCCACGGTGAAGCCAGCTCAGAGCAGACTGTGCTGCTGCTTGAATGCAAAGAATACTGAGGGGAGCCAGGCATGGTAGCGCACACCTTTAATCCCAGCACTCGGGAGGCAGAGGCAGGTGGATCTCTGTGAGTTCAAGCCCAGCCTGGTCTACAGAGTTCCAGGATAGCCAAGCTGCAACTGTCTCAAGGAAGGAAGGATAAACATCAGTGTGTGTGTGTGTGTGTGTGTGTGTGTGTGTGTGTGTGTGTGTGTGTGTGTGTGTGTGTGTGTGAGTGCGTGCGCGCACACACTTATCTTTCCCCAGGTTGGTGTTTTGAGAACTCAGGAGGCTCCTTGATTGGTCCTGTGATCCCTGGAGTGGAGGACCACATAGACTATGATGGATGGCAGAGTTAAGAGTGCAAATGATTTACTCAGGCTGGAATGCTGGATTCAAGCCAACCATAAAATTTCACACAGATGGATTTCAAGTTTGGCTTTTGGTTAAAATCAATAAGACAACATAGGAAAAAAGAAAGAAACTGAGCCTGACAATTCCTGAGGGAAGTTCTGGGAGGGACTGTTACAGACCATAAGGTTACTGAGGCCGTGAGGGCAGGCCAGTGCAGGGAGGGTCCTAGAGCATCCACACACACACACGCACGCCAAGCAGCTCCCCACACTCTGCTCAGAGTCCCGGTTGAAGAGGGACATTGGAAACCAGGCATGGAGACGGGATGAGGAGTTCAAGGTCATCCTCAGCTATAAGGGGAGTGTGAGGCCCAGCTGGGGATACATGAGACAGGGTCTCATGTGTCTGTCTCAGAGGACAGAAGGTAAGGAGTGACAAAGGGGCCACTTTGAAATATTGGGTGCAGTTTGCGGCAGAAGTGGAGACTTGTTCCAGCTCCCCCAAAGCACTAATCAGGACCCAGTGGGTTCTGGGTTAACGAGGCAAGCAGAAGCTAAAACTTCGTAGAGGACTAGATCAGGGATGTATAAGGAAGTCGGTGGTTCTTAGCCAGGTCAGGAGGGACCTGAAGGTTGGCATTGAGCATGTCAAGTCAGATCTAAAGACCCCACCAGGGCCGCTGAATCATAACCCCCCAGTCTTGCCTGCAGTTTTGTGCCTTTCAGGAGTATGTTGCCAGCCAGGACAAGCAGGCTTCTGCCAGGTCACTTTAGGTGGTCCTTAATCTTTACCCTGAGACAATATCCCCTCATCCCAAACCCTAGAATAAAGCTCCTCAGCTAAAATCAAGCCCACACTATGGCTGTTTGCAGAGGCTTTTATTCACAGTTCCCCAAACCTGGAAGCAAGTAAAATATATCCTTCAGTAGCCGAGTGTGGTAATATATTGTGTACCCTAATAAAAATGCTGAAAGATCAGAGAGACAAAGGAACAAGCCACTGCCATGTCTTACCTCTAGGACTCCTCAGCCTGAAAAGCCTTTAGTTCTTGTCTCCTTATGCCTTATATACCTTTCTCCGCCCAGCCATCACTTCCTTCCTAGTGCTGGGATTAATGGCCTGTGTGCTTCCCAAATACTGGGATTAAAGGTGTGAGATCTCAAGTACTAGGATTAAAGGTGTGTGCCTCCACTGCCTGGCTCTGTTTCTCTTCTAGACTAAGTCAATCTCATGTAGTCCAGGGTGACTTTGAACTCACAGAGATCCAGACGGATCTCTGCCTCCTGAGTGATAGGATTAAAGGTGTGTGCCACCACTGCCCAGCCTCTATGTTTAATCTAGTGGCTTATTCTATTCTCTGATCTTCAGGCAAATTTTATTAGGGTACATAATATATCACCACAGCCGAGTGAATAAATAAACTTGGATACATTCGGACAATGAACTCTTATGCAGAGCTGAAAGGAAATGTCCTGCTGAACCATGAAAGATACTGGAGAACCTTGAATGCCTGTCACTAAGGCAAAGGAGCTGATTGGAAGAGGCTGCATGCTGTAACTGCAGCTGTACAACATTCTAGAAAAGGCCATAGAGACTCTAAGGGGTCAGAGAAGGGAGAAGGAGAGGACTAGGCAGAGCACAGGGGAGCTTTAGGGCAGGGGCTGCTCTGATGGTAAACCTAACCTGACACTGTGTGTCTAGACCTGTAGCATTTCAACTAAGAGTGACCCCTGTGCACGCCGTGGGCCTTGGATAGTACCCATGTTCCCACTGGTTATCAGCTGTAACAAGGATGCTGCTTATAAAGGATGTCATATGGGGGGGGGGCTGTCCATGAATAGGGAAATTCTGCACCTGCTCGATTTTGCTATGAACTTGAAATCATCCTAATTTTTTTTTTTAAGATTTACTTATTTTTATTTTATGTGTATGGATGTGTGTCTGGGCACTATGTGCATACAGTGCCTTTGGAGACCAGAAGAGGGTGTCAGATTCCCCCTGGAACTGGAGTTATAGATGATTGTGAACTGCTGTATGAGTGCTGAGGACTAAACCCAGGTCCTCTGGAAGAGCAGCCAGTGCTCTTAACCACTGAGCCATCTCTGCAGCCCTAAAAGCATTTTATTTTATTTTTGGTTTTTCAAGACAGGGTTTCTCTGTCTAACAGTCCTAGCTGTCCTGGAACTCATTATATAGATTAGGCTCGCCTCCAATTCACAGAAATCCTCCTGCCTCTGCCTCTTGAGTTCCGGGATTAAAGGCATGCACCACCACACCCGGCTATAGAAACAATTTTGAAAAGATAAATGCAAGGGTTGGAACTGTACCTCAGTAATAGACTGTTTGCTTAGCATGCCTGAGGTCCTAGGTTCAGTCCTCAGTACAAAGGAAAACAAGAAGAAAGGCTGACGGAGGAAATCGTCTGTGTTTGCTTTACAACATGATGCTTTACATTAAGTGTTTGCTGTACAAACATGAAAACCTACCTGAGCTTGGATTCCCAGCACCCACACAAAAAGCTCACACATCTGCAATCCCAGGGCTAGGGATGGGGACCAGAGACAGCTCACTTGCTGCCAGCATAGCATTTCAGTGAGCTCCAGGTTCAGTGAGAGACTTTGTCCCAAGGGAATAACCCAGAAAGCTGTGGAGGAAGGTACCCAGCATCCCCTCCTGGCCTCCTGGTGCAAAGACACACACACATGCGCTCCCAAAGAGAGATAGTGCATTCTCTTCTGGGTTCATCACCCCTAACCTTTGTTTGGGGTTTTGCTTGCAGTGCTGCGGTGGGTGTTGGTTTCTATGGAAACAGTGAGACCAACGATGGGGTACACCAGCTGCTCTACTCCCTGGACAACGCGAACCACACCTTCTCTGGAATTGACGAGCTGGTAAGAATTGTGGGCAGGTGGCTGGGCACAGACACAGCCCATGAGATCAGCAAGGCCAGAACAAGGGTGCCAGTCAGATCTCAGGAGCCCAGCTGCACCCTTCAGAGCTGCGTGATGGATGCTGTGGGCTGGGCTGTCTTCTGAGCAGTTGCCCTGCCAAAGGCAAACAGTTTCTGTGACCCAGTCCAAGAGAGGTTTCAGGGCAGCTCTCCCCTGCATCAGCCCCGTTAGTCTGCAGTACATCTGAGCACTTGCCCATCCCCTGAAGGAGGAGACCCTGAACATGGGTTTCCGGAGTTGTTGTTGCTGTTAAAGCAAGAGGTCTCACTGTGTAGCCCTGATTTTCCTGGAACCCACTGCATAGACCAGACTCACCTGGAACTTTCCATGATGTTCTTGCCTCTGTTCACCCAGTGCTAGAATTACTGCCACCATAGCCTACTGAGCACAGGCTGTTTGTTTATTTGAGACAGTCTAACCTCGAACTCCGTATGTCTCAGAGGATGACCTGGTGCTTGAATACAGGTGTGCACTACCATGCCTGGGGGGTGCAGTGCGGGAGCTTCGTACCTGATAGGCAAGCTCTCTACCGATTGAATTACATCTTCAGTCCTGAATGTGTATTTTCGCTCTAAGTTGCTTTGTACAAAGCTCTGATCCACCTATCAAAAGGGGAAACTAGGGACCTAACATGGTGGCACACAGCCTACCTACCCTACCCCCCCAAAAAAAATTTTTTTTAAGTGGGAAAAAATGTCTTCAGAAACAATGGAAGACCACCCACCCCACCCCTTGCCCGCACACGCAAAGGGTGGGAAGAGTCCTCATAAACCCAGCAGTGTGTCTCGGGACTCTGGGTTCAGCAGCATTCTTGCCGGAAGCTCACGGTGGAAGATTGAACCGGACTATGAAGAGAAGTTAGGTTATGTGGAGGAAGAGCTAACCTGCTGAGCCTGAGAGATGGAGGGGGAGGAGTCAGGAGCTAGGTTTCATCTCTTCACTGGCCCCTGCCTATCACTTTTGCAGAATGCCAGCCTTTCCTAATGATTTTCTAGGTGATTCCTTCCATGAGAGCTTCTGGTGTCTCCCGAGGACTCTGGTGGGAAAGGCCTAATGTAGATTCCAGGGAAACTAGTCCTTGGGCACCTGACCCTCTCTACACCAGGTCCCTCCAGAATATCCAAAGTCCCAGCAAAAGGCACGTTTGTCAGCAGCCTCCACCGTCAAACCCAGCCCTAACTAGAGGAATCGGTCACTCCCCTGGCATCCAGGGAGGACTCAACCTCATATGCCCACTCCCCTCCTGGCATGCTTCTGTAAGCTCCTCTACAGTTCTAATCCTTCCATCAGCCCCTGGGGGCAGGGGAGGGGGCAGGGACAGGAAATCTCATCTTAAAGAGACAGGCTGCAGCTTTGGGATGTGTAGTGCCCAGTATTTGTGGGAGGTGACCCCTGGGACCTCACCCACTCTTATTCGTCTTGGTCCTGATGAGGAGCAAACCCCCAAGGACACCTTCTGCCTGTCCTTGGCAGTGTACTGTCTCCTGCTCTCTAGCCTTCAGTGGCCTTGAACGTGGGAGAGCCTGAGGGCTGGGAAGCCCCAGAGCTGTGACCTTCCCTGATGGGAAAATTCAGTCTTTATCTTAGGGGAGGAACTTGCTGATATTGGGGAACAAGCTCTAGGCTCCCAGCCCTCATGAGCCAGGTTTGAACACTCGGCTATAACTCCCACTCTCTAGACCTTCCCCCACCCTGTCCCTGGAGATAGTCCCTTCCCCTTTGGCGGTTCCTGCAATGTGGGTCAGTTGTTCCAGGACTTTGTGGTGGTGCTGCCCACTATGAAAAGCTTCTGACCCTCTTACCTAAGGGGCTGGTGAAGGCTCCAAGGTGGGTGCCCAACAGTTTCAGGCCTGAGGGCTCCAGAGAGATAGATCCTTATAGGGCCTTCCCCCTCATCCCAGGGGTGGGGTCCAAATTGCAGGTAAATGGCTGAATGTCGTCAGGTGAGTTACCACCAGGGAAAGTGCCGTAAACTATAGAGTGCACTCTCCCTGGGGGGATTAAGATAATGGTGTCATTATAATAATTACTGCAATCACCATGAAATAGAGGTGTTGGGGTTGTGGGAGGCTGTGGGTGGCAGTCAGGATGGAGACTCATCCAGCAGACCAGATGACTTAAAGCTGGGCCCTGCTGGAGTCCAGATCAGGCAGTCAACTGGTCAACTAGGGCTTCTAGGGCTGTCCCCCAAACACAAAGACCAGGGACTCTCTGCATTCCCCTCTCTTGGCTAGAAACCCCCACCATCCTGAACCCATAGGCCTATGGGAAACCGCTCAGTGGAGAAACGGAGGCACAGATAGGTGGCATCACCCCACAGCTGAAAATCAGTGCATCTCAGAGCAAGAACACAGAGCCCACCAGGCCTCAGGTCTTGGCCCTGTGTTTTTTCCCTCCCCTTACTTCCCTGAATCTGAGCTGGTGTTCCTCTCAACTGCTACAGACCTGATCTAGTGCTCTCTCTCTCTCCCAGAGGCTCTCAACCTGGCCTGGAATCAGAATGGCCTGGAGAGCTAGTTAGGATGTGGCCACAGGCCCTGCCCTGCTGGGGCTCCAATTCACAGGCCAGGCAGGCCGAGAATTGGCATTTGTAATGAGCTCCTGGGTGATGCTGCTGGCCTGGGGACCACAATTGGAAAAACCAAACCCCTGTCCTTTGAAATGGTGACCTTCTAGCTGGTCCTTGTCCCCATCTGGTGGAAGAGCTAAGCTTTCCCCTCATCAGTTCCCAAGAGAAAGCCAAGTCCAAGGGGCATCACACCTCTGCCTTCTTGAACCTCAAGGACTGGAACCATGTGAGCAAGCACAAAGCTACAGGAAGGCCACTGTTGTGACATGTTCTATCTGTCTGTCTGTCTGTCTGTCTATGTATCTATGTATCTATCTGTCTATCATTATCTATCTATCTATATCTATCTCTCTAATCAATCTGTCGTCTCTTCCCATGAAACAATACCAGAAGGAAAAATGGACTTGACAGATGTTTACTGACTTGAGACTTTGTTTCTTTTCCTTCTTTCCCTTCTACAAGGTTCTGCTATGTAGCCCAGGCTATCCTAGAACTCCTGATCCTCCTGCTTCGACCTTCTAAGCAATTAGATTACAGGACTTGGACACCCATCCAGGCCTATTCTCTAATTGTTGTTGTTGTTGTTTTGTTTGTTTGGTTGATTTTTTTAAGACAGGGCCTCTACAGAGTTCTGGATGTCCTGGAACTTGCTGTGTAGACCAAGCATGCGCCACCACACCTGGCTATTCTCTACATTTTTAACTTCTCTGTTTCTTCTTGGGTTTTTGTTTGCTTGGGGATTTGTTGTGGGGGAGGGACTTGTTTGTTTTCTTTTCCGTTTGTTTGTTTGTTTGTTTTTGAGTCAGGGTCACTGATAGCTCAAGCTGGCCTCAAACTCCCTTTATAGCCAAGGACGACCTTAAACTCCTGCCTCTGTCTCCTGAGTGCTGAGACTATAGTGTTCAGTACCACACCCAATTCGTTGGATGCTTCAAATCAAAGCCAGGGCCTCCCACATCCTAGGCAAGCACTCTACAAACTGAACTACATGCCCAACCTTGCCTTGTCTGTTCTTAAGGTCACCCTTGATGTAACAAACCGAAATGCCAGGCTTCGTGGCACAGGCCTATAATCCCAGGACTCAGGGGGCTGATGCAGAAGGATCAGGAGTTCAAGATCATTGTAGGCTGCATGAGACCCTATGTACACACACACACACACACACACACACACACACACACACGTACGCATGTATGCACGCACGCACGCACGCACGCGCGCACGCACACACAAGTGGGGGATAGAGAGCTTGAAAAAGTCTAAGACAAAGTTTAAAATTTTGAATTCTCGCCGGGCGGTGGTGGCGCACGCCTTTAATCCCAGCACTCGGGAGGCAGAGGCCGGCGGATCTCTGTGAGTTCGAGGCCAGCCTGGGCTACCAAGTGAGTTCCAGGAAAGGCACAAAGCTACACAGAGAAACCCTGTCTCGAAAAAACCAAAAAAAAAAAAAACAAAACAAAACAAAAAAAAATTTTGAATTCTCTTTTTTTGTTTTGGGAGACCTTTTTTGTTGTTTTTTAGACAAGGGCTTGCCTGTGGTACAGTCTGGACTTGACTTCAATGCAATCCTCCTGTCTCAGCCTCCCAAGTGCTAGGATTCTGCAGGCATGAGCCAGCATGCCCAGTTAGCTGATTCTATCTTGCTGTTTCAATCTGTCCCCATCTCCCAAGAGCTCAGTTGACACCAGAAAACGGAAGAAGTGTTGACGCGGAGAGAAACAGAGAGCCATTCTCTCAACTAGAATCAGGAAGTCACAGTGTAGGGAAGACATGAAAAGCCACAAGGTTAATGTCAAGTTCCCGTGATTCCCGAGCTCAGAGCGCTCTCCTGGGCTCCATTGCTGTGCCCTCCTCTGCCCCTCTTCTGTGCCTTTATCCCGCAGGCTGTGGGAGCTAAGACTGCTGGGTAAGGATTAGCCAGGCACCCTGGCCTCTTTCAGCTGCTTGTGGATGACAGTGTCAAGGCAGCAAAGCCGGACCCTGGCAGCGTAGTCCTGCAGCAGTCCCAGCTATTCCAGAAGTTGGGGCAGGAGGATCTCAAATTCAAGGTCTGCCTAGACTACATAGCCAGTTCCAGGCTAGCCTGGGCAATTATTGAAAACAAAATAAAACAGAAACAAAGCCCTTCTTCATCCAGCTGTCCATATGCTGTCTCTGCTCAGATGGCTGTGGGGCTGTGTCCCCAAGCCTGGTGGCCACCTGAGTATGACATTTGCAATATAAGCCACACCTTGCCCCTTGTTTAGGAGCTGACAAGGACAGCCACTGCCATCATCTTTTCGTTTCTGTCTGTATAGACAGATGTTCTTCCGGGGTCAACTTAAGGTCAAAGCAAAGGACAGGTGCCTCTGTCCACCTAGCAGGACAGACATCCTGGGGGTTGGGGGGACATGAGCCCAAGAGAAGACACTAATTTCCTCCTCCTTGTCCCAGGGCCAGGCTGGGAGGAGACAGCATCTGTTCTCTGTTTTCAAGGCCCCATTGTTCTGCCTTGCCTTGCGGTTGGGACACTATGAGCTGATTCTAGCTCAGAGACAAACCCTTTATCTTGTAGGGCGCCTGGGAGCCCTATTGGACTAAAGCACAAGGTGGCAGCCTGGGGCGCTAAGTCTTTGATTTCATAATCCCAAGTGATTCAAACTTTAGGAGAATGTTCAGGGAAGAAAAATGAATCCGTTTGGTTCCCTATTTGGAGTCCAAGTTGAGCCCCACCTCTCTGAAATTCGGGAGACCTGAGATGTTTGGGATTTCAGAGTTTGGGGGCTTGGGTTTATATTTGGAGTTATTTGTATAGTTTACTGCTAGAGTGCTAAGAAGATTTGGGTTTTCAGATTAGAGAACCCCGGGCTGCAGTGAGGCTTGGATTGGAGAGCCAAAGCTGGGGAAAGCTAGAACAGCAGGGTCAGACGTGACCAGGCTGTGTGTCTAGGGGTCAGCCTCCCAGCACTATAACAAACCGCTGAGATTTATGAAGAAGAAGGTTTGGACACCTGTAATCCCAGCACTTGGGAGGTGGAGGCAGGAGGATCAGGAGCTCAAAGTCATTCTCAACTTCATAGCAAGTTGGGGTCCAGCCTGGGCTACCTGAGACCCTGTCTCAAAAATAAAACAGTTTTTAAAATGAAATTGAGAGAGAGGGAAGGAAAAGGGCTTGTTTTGTTTCGACCTAGGAAGTTTCAGCTCATGCTGGTTGGCCTCACTGCTTTGGAGCCTTTGATCTGAGAGGCCATGGTAAGCCCACAGGATGGGCAGAGCTGCTCACTTCAATGTATACAGAAGCAAAGAAAGAAAGAATTCCAGTGTCTTTTTTGAGGAAGGGTACTCCCCAATGACCTGAAGTCCCATCACAGACCTAACCACCTCTGAAACATTCTATCACTTTCCATATCACCAAGTTTGTGGCCACGCCTTTAACATGGATCTTTGGGGAACTTTCCAGACCCACATGATGGCAGTGGGCACAGGACCTCTGTCCTTGGCCACTTCCCTGGGGCAGCAGGCTCATGAGCTCCCAGGGTCTGTGTCAGTGTGAAACAGCCCTTCAAGCCCAGCTGGCCAATTGCTGCTTCTTTCTGCAGAGACCTTCTCAGTACCTATCCCAGGACCAGACTCGAGCCCCTTCCTTACCTCCCTTAGGTATCTGGAAACACCCAGAAGATGAAGGTAGACCTAGAACAGCACTTGGCCCGGCTCAACGAGATCTTTGCTGCTCGGGGCGACTACATCCAGACCCTGAAGTTTATGCAGCAGATGGCAGGCAACGTTGTCAACCAGCTCTCGGGACTGCCCGTGTGGAGGGAGGTCACCATGCAGCTGACTGAGCTGTCCCACCAGACTGCCTATGTGGAACACTACAGGTGAGGGACCGGAGAGGCAGTGGGAGGGACAAGTAGAGCTATCGATGCAGACCCAGCCACTCCCCACAGCCTCACTGTGTAGCACCTCAGCAATGCTGTACTGAGGGGTGCCACCCCACCTCTACATCTATTATGTACTTTTCTCTTTGCTGTCGCTAAATATCTCGACACAAGCAATGGAAGGAAGGAAGAGGAGGGCATTTTGGCTCACAGCTTGAGAGTGTGGTCCATTATGATGGGGATGCCATGGCAGCAGGAAGGAGCCTGAGGCAGCTGGTCCCAGACATCCCCTGTCAGGAAGCTTTGTCCTTTTTATTCAGTGGCTCTTCCCACCTGTTTTAGTCAGGGTGACTATTGCTGTGATGAAACTCCATAACCAAAAAGCAACTTGGAGAGGAAAGGGCTTATTCGGGTTATACTTCCACATCACTGTTCATCATCAAAGAAAGTTGGGGCAGGAACTCAAACAGAGCAAGAACCTGGAGGCAGGAGCTGATGCAGAGGCCATGGAGGGTGCTGCTTACTGGCTTGCTCCCCATGGCTTGCTCAGCCTGCTTTCTTATAGAACCCAGGACCACCAGGCCAGGAATGGCACCACCCACAATGGGCTGGGCCCTCCCCCATCAATCACTAACTAAGAAAATGTTCTACAGCAATGCCTATAGCCTGACCTTGTGAAGGCATTTTCTCAATTGAGGTTCCCTCCCCTCGGATGACTCCAGCTTGTGTCAAGTAGACATAAAACCAGTCAGCATATTACCTCAATTAATATAATCTAAAAAATCTTGGGCTGTTGAAATAATTTAGCTGGTAAAGACCTCTGGCACCACGTTTAACAACCTGAGTTCAATTCTAGAACCCCACATGATGGAAAGAGAAAATTGGCTTCTGCAAGTTGTCCTCTGACCTACACATGCATTGTGACATGTATGTGTGTATACACACACACACACACACACACACACACACACACACACACACACACACACACAGAGTTTAAAAAAAAAATCTTTCTCAGATGTGCCCAGAGATTTGTCTCCTAGGTGAGTCTAGGTCCCATCAAGTTGACAATCAAGATTAATGACCACAGCACCTCACTTAGGTATCCAAACTCATCTCTGTCTCATCCAGCCTGTAGCATCTCCTTATGTCCATCTGTAACCCCATCCCTGGTGAAGTCACTAAACTCAGTCTTAGACCCAGACTGGCTGCCCTCCTTCCGAATACAGGGTCTCAGAAGGGTCACTGTTGAGAGCCAAGGAAGGAGACAGCTGTCTCTGTCCTAGGCTGACCTCCATCCCAGTGGTAGCATGCACTCATATAATGTGCATGCATGTGTGACACGCACATCATTGTGCCCAAAGGGTCACTAGTCCAGTATCACAGACACAGGGTGGAACAGATTTGTGGGTCTTGCATGACAAGTGTCAACTCTTTGAATCCCTCCCTTGCCCAAATGACTTGGCACCTCTTCCAGCCATTGAGGAAGATCAGAGCCTCTGCCCCAACATTGCGCAGTGTACTCATAGTTTTCTGGATTTGTATCTTATTATATCATAAAGCCCCACCCAGGAGGCTGCTGCTGGGCTGAGTCCAGAGGAAATGCTCAAAGCCTTTCAGATTCCCTTTCCCAAAGGGAAGCGCTCACCCAGTCCCGAGTTCTATGTGGGACTTCAGGATCCAGGGGGTGCTTCCATCCCCACCCCAGACCTTGAGTTTCCTTGATGTCAGATATTCTAGATGGAAGGGCCCTTGGTGTTACTCTTCTAAGACATAGGCAAAATGTCTTCCTCCCCAGGGGACCGAAAGGAACTGCCAGCTCTGAGGAGACAATCTGCCACCGTATCAGAACCAGTGGAATATCCCTGGGGGGTGTCCTTATTGACCTGGCTCCTTTCCTTGAGTGCATCTGGCTGATCCTGTGGGCATTTTAGTAAAGACCATTATGAAATGCGTAAAGATTTTATATATCAAAAGAGGCTTCCTATTCAGATCAGATTAAGGAGCAAGAATAGTTCAGCAGGCCCCTGCAGCTTCCAAATGCTGAGGGTCACTTCCCCATCTCTGCTTGTGTTTGTAGCTCATAGGCTTCTTGGGGAGCCTTCCCAGAAAGGTTTCCAACCGTTGTTATGCTGGCCATCCACTCCCATTGAAGCACTTTACTGGGGAGACATGTCCAGCTCCAGCTCAGAGGAGATAACATGCAGAGTTACTGCCTGGGGCTGAGATGTGGACACTGGCTTGCAGATGCCGGATGTGGTGGGGTGAGGGGTGAATCCAGCAGCATTAGTTCATCAGGCAAAAGCCAAGTTCATGGTGAGAGCTCCCTCCCCCAGTTCCCAGGGGCTCCTCTGGGAGAACACATCCGCCCAGGAGCGGTTTCGAGGAACGGCTCACACAGGCAGCAGTGGATACAGGAGTTGTGAAAGCACATCTGGAGGGGTCAGGAGCCCCTCTGCATCTGGACTTCCTGCAGATGGGAGAGGATACGGAAGGAGCAACCCATCTTTAGGTTAGGAGTGTGGAACTCATGTTTTGGAGGGTTCTTGGGGGTGGGGGGCTATGTCTCTAGAAGGAAGGAGAGTGTAAGGTTTCCATGCAGCTCTGGAAATCTTAAGCCACCATGAGTCTTGACCTTCTCATCGGTAGTGTAAGACGCTAACACTAGATGGATTCCAAAGTTCCTTCCAATTCTGACTTTAAGAAAATTGGCTCCTTTGTGGCCTCCAACAAGTGGCAGGCCAGCTCTATCCATGTCCCAAAACCATAGCCCCATTTCTGGGACCCCAGAGACCTGCCCTGGGGTACCTGTTGCTCTGTTTGGGAGCCAAGGGTTTCAATTAAGCCCCTTCTTTTAAGCGTCAAGCCTCCATTCACAAAGACAGAATCTGATTTGGCTTCTGGGGACCTCCAACTTGCTCCGTCTTCCTCAGAGCCTCTTGTCACTTCCTGTCAGTCATATCGTGTCCTATTGCACCCCGACATCCAGTCCCCAGCACTACATAACATGTGTGGTGGTGCACGCCTGTAATCCCAGCACTTTAACAGTGAAGGCAGAAGAATCGCCAAGTTAAAGATCATCCTTGGCTACATATCGACTTTGAAGCCACCCTGGAATACATGAAACCCCGACTTTAAAGACAAAAAAAAAATGTGAGGAAAGCGCCATGCCACAGTCTCTAGTTGGTATAGGACAGCTTTCTCCAGAAGCTCAGGGGGGAGTCCAGAAGTCAGATGAGGATATACTGACCCTCGCTCCATCTGAACTCCCTGATAGTCAGGAGCAAGCCTTCTCACACGGGCATCATGACTCCAAGCTCAGTGTCTGGCACAAATGTTGGTTGAAGAAACCTCTGCGTACTACATTGTGAATCCACACAGGCTAGATGTGCAAGATGGGAGGCCTCGGCCAAGAGAGGCAGGCATCCAGCAAAGAAGGGGGCCTCTCGGGGGTTCTCTCAGATCTGTGACTGTAATGTCAGGCCTCACCAGATCTGCCCTCTGAAGGTTCTGGAAACAAAGCTAAGCAACCAGGAGCTGCAGAGACAGAGCTATGCAGTCCACTATGGACACTTCTAACTATGTATGTCAAAGTGTATTAAAATTTTGGCTGGGGACAGGGGTTTACTCGATGGCAGAACTCTGGTTAGCATGTATGAGGCCCTGGACTTGCTCCCCAGTGTCATAAAAATAGTGATATTAAGTAAACTGAGACATTCATATCCTTCGTGGGAGTAGGCTGAGATTGCTGTATAGCCCAGGCTAGCCTGGAACTCACAAGAACTGGAATTCCAGGTGTCTGCCACCACACTTGGCCTCATTTTCTCCCTTACATAATTCACATCTCAGGTTCTTAGGCATATTTTAGATTCTCAGCAGGCATCTGTGGCGGATAGCGTGGACAATATAGATGTAGACTGTTTCCACCTTGATGGAAAGTTCTAGAGCCCAGTACTGGTGTAGGTATTCCACCAGATGGTTAAGATGAAGGGTAGGAGAGTTCCAGGTGCAGCTCCTTGAGCCCCTGAGGACCCGCAGCCTCTGGATCGTGCTCCTGTGCTCCCACTGGCCTGGGTTGCTGTTCTGGCCTCTCAAGGGCAGCAGGTGTGTGTGTGGGGTCTGCTCTGCCGATCTTCATCTTCTCTTTGCCTCTACCCAGGTGGCTCTCCTACCTCCTTCTTTTCATCCTGGACCTGGTCATCTGCCTTGTCACCTGCTTGGGACTGGCCAGGCGCTCTAAGTGTCTTCTAGCCTCGTGAGTAGCCCTGTTTATGGTCTGAAAGCCAAGAGTTGAACTAGGAGCCACCTATAGAGGGAAGTGAAGGCCTAGCCAGGCCTTGAGAGTGGTGGTAGCCAAGATACCCCTCCTCAGCACCCAGCTCCCTTGCAGGCAGGAGCTTCTTGTGTGTCAAATGTCCCACACTCCAGCTGTCTCTGTGCTGGGATCCACAGCCCTCTCCTAGCTGTTAGCAGAGATGGGGTGGGGGTGGGAGTAGTCAATGCATGGCGGAGGTGGGGTGGGGTGGGGGGTCAATGCATGGCAGAGGTGGGTTGGGGTAGGGGGGTAGGTAGGGCTCTGCCTGGGAGGAAGGATGCTGAATTCAGGTAGGACGACTGCTCTCCAAATGACCCCCTGCTGTCTACCCTTCGGAGACCCCAGAGTGTCTGCCTCTCTCCTAGCATGCTGTGCTGTGGAGTACTGACCCTGATCCTCAGCTGGGCTTCCCTGGCTGCAGACACCGCCGCAGCAGTGGTGAGTGGAGGAGATGGGGGTGGCTGGTCTAACCAAGACAGTCCGTCTGTCCTGCCCTGTTCAAAGACCCCGACAGGCCAGCTTCGGGCTCAGTCCCTTACCTACCATCTCAGAGGCTTAGAACTAAAGAGGCTTGGATCACTTTGGCCTGGCTCAGAGACAGGAAGGGGTTTGTCCAAAGTTACAGGGCCTGGGGGACAGAGCCAAGACAAGACACAGTGCTTGTTTGGGCATGCAGAGAATGAGTGCGTGGCCAGGTAGCTTCCGTGTGAGTGTGAAGAGCTAACCTGGTGGAAGCTGGGTGGGTTCCTCTACCATCCCCCAGACACCAGGTATGTAAAAGGTGGCATCTCCTACCTTCTGTCCCTGCAGTCCCGTTGCCCTTACACTCACGCGCGCTCTGAAATGCACACGTGTGTGCTTCTGAATGCGATGCCTCAAGTGTTATGGAAAAGTGAGGGGCTTCCCGTATGAGGATATATTTTAAAAAATCATTGATCTTGGAGCTGAGCTGCCTGAGTGCGCACTCACTCAGCGGGGGGCAGGTGGGGGAGAAGGGGGGGTTCCCGCTGTGTTCCTTGGGCTGCAAACTCAGGGGGGCATGATGTTCCGTGTTGACACTCAGTGGAAGATGAACTTGTAGGCAGACCATCGTGACGTGGTGTGAGTCACTAGTTACAGGTGCTGGCTCTATGTGTGTATGTGGCTGTGCGCCTGTGCGAACATGCATGCACATGGGCACCGCTGCACACGTGCTGGGGGAGACACACTGTACTAGGAGATTTCAAGGGACCACTGTGATTTGAGGGCTGTAAGCCGACCCCACGGTCTGCTCCTGCTCCTCCTTACCCACATCACACCTTGCCTGGTGTCCCTGGCTAGGAGCTCTGGTCCTGGGCACGTTGTCCGTCATACCCACAGGGTAAATGGCCCCTGGTGCCACCTGGCTCTGCTACTTTTGATAGAGGCTGATTCAGAAGTACTAAGGATCCAGTTCTGGTGACCCAAGCCTATGGTCCCAGCTACGCTGGAGACTGAGGCAGGAGGATTGCAAATCAAAGGCCTGTGTGAGCTACAGAATGAATTTAAGTCCAGCCCGAGCAACTTAGTAAGGCCTGTCTTTAAAAGGGGCTGGGAGGCTGTGGGGCTGGAGACATGGCTTAACAGCTAAAAGTACCTGCTGCTCCTGCAGAGGACCCAGGTTCCATTCCCAGCACCCACAGGATGACTTACAACCATCCATAACTCCAATTCCAGAGGATTCGATGCCCTCTTCTGACCTCTGGACAGGACAGCAGACACACACACACACACACACACACACACACACACACACACACACACACACACCTCATACACATAAAATAAATCTAAGTGGGGGAGGGTAGAACTGGAAACAGCTCAGTGGCAGAACCCTTGCCTAGTAAGAAGCTGTAGGTTTGAGCTCTGGTACTGTAAAAGGCGATAGGGAGGGCTGGGGACACTCAGTGAGATGCTTGCTGACACAGACCAGGCCCTGGGTTCTATCGTCAGCACTGCATCAGCTGGCCATGATAGTGCCCATTTGTTATCCCAGCACTTGAGGGGGGTTTAAGGGCTGGAGGTTTGTAAGTTTAAGACAGTTTGGGTTACTTGAGATCCTATCTCGAAACCAACAAAAACACAAGGAAGTGGGGTATTTCTCATCGCCCCTTTCTGTGCTGTGACCACACACCAAGCAAGGACTGGTGCCAAAGAGACAGTGCTGGAGCCCAGGCTGTGCTCAGGCATCCTGGTGGCCTTTGGAGCTGGGAGCTTGTAAACAGTGTGGGGAGGGGCTCCGCTGCCCAGAGTGATGGGCACAGCTGCCTGGCTGGCAGCCTCTTCTCCAGAGACAAGTGCAGGCGCGGGGAAGCTTTCCGTGCCGAGCCTATGGGGCTGGGTCCCACTTCTGACAGCCTCTGCCTTTTGAAGAAGAAATGGCATCCAGCTTGCCACCGTGAGCTGCCCTTGGGAGCTGGCTCCCTCCCAGCAGGGGCTTCTCCCATCAGGCATCTTGCCGTTCAAGGAACCCACGGGCTGTTTCATCTGCAGCCGGGTGCCACGGAATGCTAGGGAGCTGGGAGCCATGCCATTTCCCTAATTCCTTTCCTAAGGCCCTTGTGCAGGAGAGGCGGGTGTGAGGGCACTGAATGGGTCTTTGACAGAGCTGAGGCTGCTGTGGCATTTTAATAGGAAAAGGGGGTAAAGAGGCGCTGTGGAGGGTGGGGGGAGGCCACCAGCTGTCAAGGGGTCATTGTGCAGAGCTTTTGTGTTCCTCTACTGCCACCCTGCCCTCTGGGGCCTATTTTGAGGGCAGTGGGGCCAGATTCACACCATCACCCTTCCCCCAACCTGCCCAACAGGCAGGGCATCCATAGGACAGAGTATGGAGACAGACTATTCCAGGGCATGCTGAGTGGAGGGAAGGCGGGAACGGGGGAACCAAGCTCAGAGCCTCCAGACCTGCGGCCCTAGGCCCTCATTGCTGGCCCTCCTGGCCACCCCGATGTCGTCAGTAAGAACCACAGACAAACTGGAGGTGCCGGGGCTCTTGGGGCAGAGGAGAGGCAGGGCGTAGAAGGAAGAGAGCAGGAGTTGGTGAGGAGTCTCCACAGTGCTCTGGCTGCAGGAGAGAGGACAGAACACTCCCAGAGCACGCAGGCCTGAGGGGCAGCGGGCCCACCTCCTGGGTCAGAGGCAAGAGCGTAGCTGCTAGAGCCCCCAGCCTTAGCCACGTCATCCCTTCCCAGCAGCAGAACCTCCTGAAAGTTACTGAAGTTCTCTGTGCCTCAGTTTTTTCCTGTGTAAAATGGGGAGAATGATAGTACCCGGTGCCTCAGATGGCACACAATGACATCTGTGTAGTTCAAAGTGTAGTAGCCATCTTTGCTTCTAACACAGTTCTCACCATGTGAGGGCCACAGGGATGACCCCTTCAGATAATCGGGAACTTCCTGCAGGCTCAGTCATCACCTGGGCTAGCTCACCTGGGCTAGCCTCTGGCAGCTTCTCCCACCCATCCTACTTGCACTGGTCACCCTTCATCCTATTTCCCATTGAATGAATAATGTATGGACTCACAATGCATAGACACATGTATGCCTATGCACACACACATGCTGTACACACACACCGTATATCACCTTCATTGATAGATTTGGCTTCTCACAGTAAGCCATGTACCCCACGATATCTTAACCCACTTTCCCAGGAGATGTGGGTTAAAGCTCAGGCCTGGCCTAAGCAGAGAAGGAAGAGAAGTCTCAGCATTGGTAAAGCCTCATAAAGGGGTTCCTGGTTCCCCCTCTTTGGTTCCTAGGCTTCTTGAGGTGTGACTCAAAGACAATGACCTTACTCTGTTTACCAAGGCTTCTCTCCAGCAACCCCAGCCTGGCTCCCCATCTCTGCTATTCCAGCCCAGGGGTGAGGGCACACACCGGGGCTGCTGGCGCTGCAGCTCTAACTGATAATAATAGGCTTGCTGATTTATTATGTATGTTAGTGGTTTGTATATAAACCATCCTCTGCAGTCCTGAGTGCATGTGGGTGATTGGATTGTTGGGAGGAGGGTGGTCGTGTTTGTGTGAGGAAGGAGATGAATGCCGGGGTACTCTGGAGAAGTTTTGAATCTAGAGGAGCCTATTGATCCCCAATGCTCTCCCCCCCCACCCGACACCCACATTTTCTACTCTCAGACACAAACCCATGCCGCTGACGAGTACTAGTCCTAAAGCCATGCCTACATCTAGTAAGAGCTCAAAACCTGTGTATTGATTCAGTGGGGGAGGGGTGATGCTGCAATGGACAGAGTGCCCCTCGTGTTGCAGAACCACCCGAAGGAGTTCCATGCTCCGAGAAGTGGGTAGCCTCTTAGGATGGGGCATAGGAGCCCGAGTTTGCCCTGGCTCCTCTGAAAGGCGGAGCGCCCCTTTCTCCAGTTCTCCACTGCACCCTGTATCAGTTCTAGGCTCAGGGCATGGCACCCCCCTGCCACTCCTCCTTCATGCAGTCACACTGGCCTCAGTGGTACTCAGGCAGGCCATGACCCAGCTTCAACCCTGTTCCACTGACTCCCTGCCCCTGGTCTCAGCAATGGAAACCTGGCCCCACAGGCCCCAAGATGAACTTCTTCCTAGTCTCACCCTTCAAATGGCAAGTCGGAGCCAGGCATAGTGATGCACACCTTTAATCCCAGCACTCAGAAGGCAGAGGGCAAGCCGATCTCTGTGAGTTCAAGGCCAGCCTCAGCATTGGTAAAGCCTCATAAAGGGGTTCCTGGTTCCCCCTCTTTGGATCCTAGGCTTCTTGAGGTGTGACTCAAAGACAATGACCTTACTTTGCTTACCAAGGCTTCTCTCCAGCAACCCCAGCCTGGCTCCCCATCTCTGCTATTCCAGCCCAGGGGTGAGGGCACACACCGGGGCTGCTGGCGCTGAACTCCAGGATAACTAGAGCTACATCATTAGATTCTGTTTTGTTTTGTTTAAAAAAGAAAAGAAAAAAGAAAAGCAAGTTGGGGACCTTCCATAGGTTGACCACTGGAGTGTGTAGCTTGGCAATGGCAAGAACACAGTTGAGAAGAGTAAATAAGCCTGAGAGCAAGGGAAAACCACCCCTGATTTACACCTGCAGCTGCCCCTGGATTAATAGTCATATGTGGGGTGAACGGTGTCATCATGTCCACACAATAGGTGAGACTACTCAGACACAAAAAGAACAACTTGTCCAAGGTGACAGGTAGGAAAGGACAGAGCCAGGATTCAAACCTGATAATCTGGCACCCAGCCTCTTTTCTGCCCCTGGACTGAGCTAGAGATCAAGTGACCAGAGCGACAGGAGCCAGGCTCACTCCTGCTGGTGCCCAAGGGTCTGACCTTCCTCTACCCACTCCTATCTCCGTGACTCAGAGCACCAGTGACTTCTGCCATGGCTCCTGACATCTACATCTTAAACAACACCCGGAACCAGATCAGCTCAGGTAATGTCCTCTGGGACCTGTGTCCTTAGAGCCATTCCCCAAGCTCAGGCTAAGCCTATAGGATCCAACTACCTACACTTTACCTCTTCCTGTAGTCACCAAGCGTCTCCCTAACCCAGACTTAGGTTTCTCTAGACCACTGGGCCACTTCCTGGAAAACTGCCTTCTTTGGGAGCTTGAGTAAAGAAGGGAGTGGACTGGACCACTGCACGGGCAGAGGGTCTGGTTTCCTGTGAGCTTCCTGACACTGATGCTATTGCTTTGCAGAGGTGACCCGCTACTACCTGCATTGCAGTCAGAGCCTAAGCAGCCCCCTTCCAGCAGGTACAGCCACCCAAGCACACCCCCACCCTTCCCACAGCCCCTCATCACCTCCCTCTTTCTGGACCCTGAGCCCCACCACATACTAGAATGGTGGACAGCTGGGCATTGCTTCACTGTGGTCCCTCTCTTAGCCATTCTCTGAAGGGGGCTTCGCTCTTGGTTATTGCATTCTATACCTTCCTCCTATGCTCATAAGTGTGCACCTCCCTGGAGAGCTGCATCCCACAGCATCCCAAGGTTCTGCTTTTCTCACAAGCTCCCTGACAATTTCTGTGTCATATGAGGACCACATCTGAGTAGTGAGAAGCAAGATGACTGTGGAGCTCTTAAAATACCCGAGGGATGTGGTGAAAGACATCTTATGGGGGAGGAGCATAATCACGCTGTAGTGAGTGGTTGGGTTGACCAGATGGCTCAGGATCTGAATGCTAGGGAACAGTTTTCTTCTATGAGTTAAGGTCCAGTGTTCCCACACCAATGGAATCCAGTTCCTTATGCCTGTCCCCCCGAATTCAGAGTCCAAGAAACCCTTCACAGTGGGTACAGCCTGCCCCTCCTATACATTTGCCTGATGGTGATGTGGCTAGAGGGGACAAGCCTGCTGGTAGCTGTGGGACTTGTAGGGAATGGATTCTCATGGGAGGCTGTGGTCTCTCCACCCAGTCATTGACCGTCTTCCAGCGTTCACTGACCACCATGCAGATCCAAGTTGTAGGCCTGCTGCAGTTTGCTGTACCCCTCTTTCCTACAGCAGAGGTAAGGGGGCTGCCGCTCAGGCAGCTGTGTTGGGAGGAGGAGAGCCCTAGCTGAACCCCACCCCCATCCACCCTTTCCTCTGCCACACTCCGACCTGTACCCAGCCAGGTTTGGGTGAGCATTCTGCCAGCTGTGCATGCCCCGCTCCCCGTGGCTTGGCCCTTTCCTCTTATCAAAAAGCCTCTTTGCACAGCTGCTCTTTGTAATCTTGTATGCACGCCCTCCCCAGCTGCTCACTCTGCCTCCTCTTTTCCTCCTCCTTCTTCAGAAAGACCTTCTTGGCATCCAGATTCTGCTAAACTCTTCTGAGACCAGCCTGCACCAGCTGACTGCCATGCTAGATTGCCGAGGGCTGCACAAGGTACTAGGTGGCTGACTGTGGAGGGTGTGGGGTACACCAGCAGGGTACATGTTCCTAGAGAGAAGCCAGCAAAGACCTAGGAAAAAGAGTCCCTGGGCTCCCTGCAGGCCCTGGAATGAGACTGAAGCCAAGTAATGAGAAGTGGAAGGAGGTGCCTGGCTTCTTGATTCTCTCTGACAGATGCAGGGGAGTACCCCAGAACTTAGGATAAGAACCTAGGAAGGCTGGGCAAGTTAGTTTTAGAGCATTGGAAGACCCTTATCTAAATGATGAATATATAGTTACCCACTGGCTGACCTAAATGATGAATATACAGTTACCCATTGCCTAGACTCCTAGCCATCTGGTCAACCCATCCATCTCCCTGTCTTGCAAGTCAGTGTTTCAGTCTCATTGCCAGGATACAATGTACCAGACATGCTGGTGCATGTTTGTAGTCCCAGTACTTAGAGGCTGAGGCAGGAGGATCATGAATTTAAGACCACCTGGGCTATATAGTGGAGCCCTATCTCAGAGAGACAGAGAGAGAGAAGGAAAACCAGACATGATGCCATACCCTTTTAATACCCAGCACTTGGGAGGCAGAGGCAGGTGGATCTCTGTGAGTTCCAGGTCAGCTAGGGCTACACAGTGAGATCCTGTCTAAAAACAAAAACAAAAACCTAACCTCACATACATATAATAATGCAAGGGACACTGGGAGTACTTGAGCACCTCATCCCCAAGCAGTGAGCCCAATGTATGTCAACATCTTCCACAACCATATAGATTTAGAATAAACACATGTGCTACAGCCCATGTATGCCCACACTCACACACACACATTGTATACACTTAGACATAAAATAATAAACTTTTTTTTTTAATGAAAGAGTTATGGGTGTAACCTGTTTCCAGTTCTACAACTAGCTACCACCTCATATGTTTGGTTTGAAGTCAGCCTCAGGTGTCTGGCATACAGTAGGAGGTCAACAAATCTTTATAGAGCAGTCTGTCCCAAGGAGTTGTCAGGTGTCTCTAGAGTGGGGACCCTAAAAGGCAGCCGACTGTGCTTTGGGTGAGGATCCATCAGAAGATGGTAGGCAAAGGCAGGAAGAAGAGGAGCTTCCATGGAAGGGCTCAGATCCTAGGCTTTGCCACTTATCCCTCTGCAATGACATGTCCCTATTTCCCCAGGACTACCTGGACGCTCTCACTGGTATCTGCTACGATGGCATTGAGGGCCTGCTATTCCTTGGTCTCTTCTCCATCCTGGCAGCCCTGGCTTTCTCCACCCTGACCTGTGCAGGGCCTCGGGCCTGGAAATACTTCATCAACAGGTAGGGTACCAGAAAGGAGGTGGCCCCTGACGCATGGAGGTTTTCTGCGGGGGGCACCAATAAGCCGGTCACCTAAGACAAAGGAGGGTAGCAGAGGGTCCAGCATTCAGTACCCACAGGCTGGCTGGATTTCCCTGGGGATTAAAATAGGTCCCTGAAAAAGTAACTGGGCCAAAGATGGTGACAACCCTCCTGACGCTGTCCAGTATCCCTTGCTCTTCTTCCTAGGCAAGACTTTGCAAGGTGACATGATGAGAGAGAGGCCCCAGAAAATGGCAGGGAGGGTCAAAGATATTACTGTTAAGATGGAACTTACAGGCTCCTTATGGAGAGAGACAGAGATAAGATTTTAGGACCTCATGGATGGACAAGGTAGAGTGAGTGGACCCCCTCCCCACCACCATGTATGTAGCCAGTATGGTGCGCTGCCTAGAAGAGGTAGCTATGGAATTGGGGTCAGGTGGAGTAAGTTGTACCTCTGAGAACCATGCCTTTGTAGATGCTGAAGAAGATGCACGTGGCCTGAGAGTGTCCTAGGAAGAGAGATTGAGGAGCATAATAGGACCCCATGGCCTTTTGCCTCACCCCTCATGGCTGGCCAACTTCTACATCTTGTTCTAGGGACAGAGACTATGATGACATTGACGACGATGACCCTTTCAACCCCCAAGCTCGGCGCATCGCAGCCCACAACCCAATGAGAGGGCAACTGCACAGTTTCTGCAGCTACAGCAGCGGCCTTGGCAGCCAGTGCAGCCTTCAGCCTCCTGCCCAGACCATCTCCAATGCCCCTGTCTCCGAGTACATGTACGCACAGTAGCACCCCCCGAGGCTCCCACGCCCAGGCTGGGCAGCGTGGCCCTCCCAGCCCTGGAGTGAGGTTGGGTTTATAGACAGAGTGTTTGGTCCCCAAAAACACAGGCGGGAGGCATCGGAGGTCACGGGTTGCCCAATAGGAGCATCTCGTCACCCTCCACAGCCGTGCACACTGGAGAAAAGCACACTATAGGTGTCAAGTCGAGGGCTTTTGTCCCAAGCCCCCAGGTCAGTCCCAGGCCAGAGAAGCTGCAATTCTCCAAGCCATGGTGCTCCTGGCATCTGTCCCTTGTTAGCGGCCTCTTCCCTGGTCCCTCTGGAGCGGTGGTTCTCAACCTGTGGAATGTCAGATTTCCTGCATATCAGATATTTACATTACAATTCATAGCGGTAGCAAAATCACAGTTATGAAGTAGCAATGAAGTAATTTTACTGTTGGGGGGTCACCACAACATCAGGAACTATATTACAGGGTCACAGCATTAGGAAGGTTGAGGACCACTGCTCTTGAGTGTTCTTTCCTTTTATTTACTTTTTTGATTTTTGAGGCAGTCTCACACTGCAGCTTAAGCTGTCCTCCCTCTCCCCCGAGTACTGGGATTACAGGTGGGAGCCACCACGCTCAGCTCTTGGTCCTTTACTGTCCCACCCACAACCCTCCATCATATCCACCTCCACCTGCCACCACCACCACCCTCGACTTGCATGAGCACAAGTTCCTGCACACACGCCCGATCTCGCCTCTCCGCCCGCAGGAACCAGGCCATACTCTTCGGTGGGAACCCACGATACGAGAACGTGCCACTCATCGGGAGAGGTTCCCCTCCACCCACAGTAAGTATTCCTTCTGTGGCAAAGTCACTGCCCTGGTCCCTGTCAGGGACATAATCAAAGATAAAACCTGTCAACCCAGTTCATGATCCCCACAGAGACAGAAAAGAAGGCAACAGCTTTTCTATCAAACAGACATTAAAGCAGACTGCCTGCCATACATGTCATGGGCCATCAGCTACCCAGACCATAAAGACACAAGGCAATCTCACCCTGTTAGATGGCCTCCTGGGCATGGCCCATTGCACAACTGTCCTCAAGATAAATGGCTTCTGTCTTCTGCTAAGAGGACCAGCGACAGCATTTGTTCCACTGGCCTATCATAAATCCACCTGGTAGTTAGGGTAGCCATGCTTGGTTGGCCATTGTTTTTACTCAGAGGGAAAAGCAAATTTCTCATATCACGACAGTCAGGGAGCTCCATCTTGGAGCTAGGCACCTAAGCGGTCACTGGCGAGGGGTGTCTTCTGTGATAATGGCCTTTACACAGTCCTCAAGAAACTGCTCCTAGGGCTAGGATCAGTTTGGTACAGTCCCTGCCTAGCATGCATGAAGTCTTGGGTGCAAATCCAGCACCTTGTAAAGCTAGGTGTGATGGTTCAAGAAGTTCAAGCTCACACAGAACAAGTTCAAGACCATCCTGAAATGTAGGAGATCCTACTTCCAAAGGAAAAAATGAAAAAGAAAAAAAAAACATTATTCTTACATTGTAAGACCGGAAGGAAATTTTTTCTGCTTTTATTTATTTGTTTGTTTATTTACTTGTTTACTTTATTTATTTACTTACATATTTATTTATTTGATGTGCTTGGGGTTTTTGCATATGTCTGTGCACCGTGTACATGCCTGGTACCTGTGGAGGCCAGGAGAGTCCATCAGATCCCCAGAGGCTGGAGTTACAGGTGGTTTTAAAACACCATGTGGGTGCTGAGAATTGAACCTGGGTCTTTTGGAAGGGCAGCCAGTGCTCTTAACCACTGAGCCATCTCTCCAGCCCCTCTTCCACCTTTTAAAAAGGTTAAGGCTGAGTTAGGTCAGTGGTAGAGCACTTGCGTAGTATGTCAGGTGCCCTGGGTTTGATCCCGAGGAGAGGAGTCACTTACAGTATTTTTCCTAAAAAGGATCAATGCAGGAGGAAAAGAGGTTCTCTTTCCTGTCCATCTTTCTGTCTTTCCTGTCTGTCCTAGTTTTGCTTCCTACTTCTGTGATAAACACCATGAACCAAAGGCAACTGGAAAGGAAAGGGTTATTTGGCTTACATGTCCTCATCCTAGTCCGTCATTGAGGGAACTCAAGCAGGAGCTGATGAAGAGGCCATGGAGGAACTCTACTCACAGGCTTGCCCCTCATGGCTTGCTCAGCCTGCTTTCTTATAGAACCCAGGACCACCTGCCCTGAAGTGGGGCCACAGTCAGTAGGCTGAGCCCTCAGGTGGCAATCGCCAATCAACCAAATGCCCCCCAGACATGCCCACAGGCCAGTCTGATGGAGGCATTTTCTCAACTGAGCTTCCCTCTTTTCAGATGACTCTAGCTTGAGTCAAATTGACAGAAAAGTGGCACACTTCCCCTTCCTTTCTGGTCTCACGTGGTTGAAGATGACCTTGAACTCCTGATCCTCCTGCCTCCACCTCCCAGGTGTCGAGACTAGAGTCCTGCTCTACCGTCTTCTCCTTTCCTTTTTGTACCAGGGAAAGTTTAAGAGATGTCTTCAGGTTTTGGTCTAGGGTGGAGCCAGGACCTTATGAGTAAGTGGTCCGTTGTTGCGAAGCCCCTGAGCTGCAGCCCCAGCCCTTTTCTTCATAATTTGTGTTTCCCCCCAATCCTGGGGCCTGAGTGTAGAAGGCCAGAGTGGTGCTGTGGTGGTCTACCCAGGACAACCGCTACCGGTCACCCCAGCAAAAACTCGGAAGCCCCCAGAGCCGTGCCCACAGGAGGTCTGTGCCCCTCGCCTTCTCTACCACTTCCAACCAAGAAGCAGTACCAGGGTAGGGGCCCAGGATGTGCGGGGCGAATGGGCGAGTGGAGAAAACACTATGCTGTCTATTCCCAGAGTAGCATCCACGGAGCCCAGGATTATTGCCACGGCAGAGAGCTGCAGGTAGGAACAGTGTGGACTCTGGTGCCCAGGTGCCTGGTTCAAATCCCAGCTTATATCCTGTGGCCTCTGTCACCTGGGGCATGGCCTCTGCCCCTCTGTACCCCAGTTCTCCTGTGTGTGGAATAGGGAGGCTGATGGCACATGCCTGAGCATTGGGGGATGGGTCATTGTAAAAGTGATCATGGACAGTAAATGTCATAGGACAGCAGGCTGGATCTTTTTTTTTTTTTTTTTTTAATTCTCCACAGAGGTGTGGCATTTATAAGAAAAGGCCTGGGATGCTGGGCAGTGGTGGCATACGCCTTTAATCCCAGCAATCGGGAGGCAGAGCCAGGCAGATCTCTCTCTGTGAGTTTGAGGCCAGCCTGGTCTACAGAGTGAGTTCCAGGACAAGCACCAAAACAACACAGGGAAACCCTGTTTTGAAAAACCAAAAAGAAAAAAGGAAAAAAAGAAAGAAAAGGCCTGGGCAGAAGTCCCTGAGGAGAGTCTGCCCCCATGGAAGCATTCTACCTGCGCATCCAGGTAGTTTCAGGGGGGACCACGGACTGATAAGGTAGAAGTACTGAATACCGGGGACCAGTGAAGTGGACCTGGGCCCTGGGAAGCCAGGGAGTGCACAGATGGGCAGTTAGCAGCACCCTGGCCTGCCCCGTGCAAAGCTGACCGCAACAAATCCTGCTTTTCCTTTCCTTCCCATAACTCTACTTCCGTGTTCTCCCCGGAAAACCTTACTTACCTTTCTTTCATTACTATAATTTTATTTGTGTATGTGCGTGTGCGTGTGTGTGTGTGTGTGTGTGTGTGTGTGTGTGTGTGTGCGTGTGTGTGTGTGTGCGTGTGTGCGCGCGAACAGGGAGGACAGAAGAAGGAGTTGTATCCCTTGGAACTGGAGTTACCAACTCCCTGAGATAGATGCTGGGAATTGAACTCCGGTCCTCTGGAAGAGCAACAGGTGCTCTTAGTCTCTGAACCATCTCTCCAGCCCCCTTATTAATATTTTTTAAGCAGGGTCTCATGTAGCCGAGGCTGACCACTTAACTCATGGCTCACTGTATAGCTGAGACTGATCTTACCCTTCTGATGCTCCCTACCCCCAAGTGTGGCTTCACAGGCATGCCCCTCCCATGGTTTATGTAGTAAGTGATTTAGAGGCACCTTTAAAAATCCCACCCTGTCTTCTGCTAGTCAGCTTTCTAGATCTTTCTATCTCCCTCCAGCTGCCAGGCCCCAGGGACACAGACTGACTTTATTATTAATCTAAGCCAAACATGATTTGGGAAAATCTGCCGCTGTGAAAAAGGAATTAATCATTATACTGTGATGGTGAATAAAAGTGGTTTTTAGGTTACCTTCTGTTTGAGACAGTCAGGCTACTCTCCATGTCCTTAGCTGAGGTAAACAATAGCTGACCTTATTTGCAAGGCTGGAGGACAGGACAACCCTCACGGCCTTGGCAAAGGTGATTACCAGCTGCCCCATCTCAGCCAGCTCCGGTGGGAAGATTCCCACCCTCTGCCCCTGCTAGGGACATCTGGAGAGACGGGTACTGATGCTGTTGACCATGGAAACAGGCAGGATGAGGGTGTGGGCATCTGCCTCAGGGCAGACGGCACAGCTGGCCGCCCTCCACCCCTATATGCTGTCTGAACTCTTGGCACAAGCTGTGAGTTCATCCACATCCCTCCAAAAAAGTCACCAGAGTTAGGGGGTGAGTGAGAAGAAGCAAGGCCACCAAAGTAGAGTGTCTTCCCCATAGCTCTGTCTCCAGGGGAATCTCTCTTGTGTTTCCAGTCCCTTTCTTAGACCCCAACAAAAATAACCCAGGGGGATTGTAAAAATTCCTGAGTTGAAGATCTTCTCTGGCTTTATCTTCAATTCTAAACTCTCCCATCCCATAAAATGGCAGTATTGTTGTAAACCCTGAAAGGGATAGTAAAGTTTTATTTTGGGTTTGTTTGGGTGCTGAGAACTAGAACTCAGGACCTCACACATGCTCTGTCTGTCTACCACCAAGCTATACCCCAGCCCTGAGAGATGGGTTTTACAGACAGCAAAGGACCAAGGAAAGCAGAAACAACGGAACAAAATTCTGATTGGTCTTTTCAAAGTCCTGTCTTGTAAAAGAGATCCTTGTAATCCTTATCATTGGGTAAGGATTAAAGCAGAGGGAACCTCATGATCACCCTGCTTGAAACTGACCCATTTTGGGGAAACCTCACTCGTGCAGTACTTTAGCGTGAGTGACTCCATGTTGAATTTCAGTCTGGCCCAGTGCAGGACTCAGGTTTGATTCCCAGTCCAAAGCAGTGGCCCCTTGTCATTTTCCTGTAATAATAGCAGCACAGGGGTTCTCCTCAGATTCAGAAACAGACCCTCCCAGGAAAGTGGCCTGGGAGATTGAAGTCTAATACACTTAACAGGCAAGTTTGGGGACCATTGCTTTCAGGGGGAGGGTCTCATGCTTATATGCACACTGAAATCTTTTAAAGGGCTTGTGGAATCTAAGGTGGGACCCAGGGATTTACATGCCTAGCCTGCTCCCAGGAAAAGCTGCTGCTGCTGGCCTGGGAGCCCGAGTGGAGAACCACTACTCTCAGACTGCCTTGCTCAGCAGTCCTAGTGCTCTGACGGACAGGATGGTCCTGTGTGTCGAAACTGGCCTGTGCATGCTTACCTGGCTTTGGCTTGCTAGATGTCCAGAGTATCCCATCCCCAATCCTGCCCCGGCTATGACAACTGGACCATCGTTAGATGCTGTACGTGTATCTGAGAGACAAGATCACCTCATGGAGATGCACTGGGCTCCCTGAAGGGCCTCATGCCCCTTTCTCCTCCTCATCCTATCCCAAGTGGCATGCTTGCTGCTGTGTGTGACCTAGACCTCAGAAATGTCTCTGAGGCCAGGAGACTCTGTTCCTGCAGTCAAAAGACCAGCAGCAGTAATGAGCTTGGTAAGAAATGCACAATCAGCCGGGCAGTGGTGGCGCACGCCTTTAATCCCAGCACTCGGAAGGCAGAGGCAGGAGGATCTCTGTGAGTCTGAGGCTAGCCTGGTCTATAAAGTAGATGTCAGGACTGTTAAGCAGAGAAACCCAAAACCCTGTCTCAAAAAACCACAAGGAAGGAAGGAAGGAAGGAAGGAAGGAAGGAAGGAAGGAAGGAAGGAAGGAAGAAAGGAAGGAAGGGGTTAGATAGATGGATGTAGAGTCTCACAGCTAAAGAGGTGGGTCAGTGGCAAGTAGCACTGTCTGCTCTTGCAGAGGTCTCAGGTGCAGTTCCCAGAACCCACATGATGGCTTACAACACCTGTTACTCCCAGTTCCAGGGGCTCTGATGCCCTCTTCTGACCTTTGCAGGCCAGGTACGCACGTGGAGCAAGTGCAAAACATTCCTACACATAAAATAAACCTAAAATTTTTTTAGAAGAAACGGAAATGCTGACTCTGGGGTTCCGTGTCAAGGGTCTCTGGTGTTCTGGGCACAAGAAATGAAAGGAGAAGCCCTGTGTCGGAAGTGGAGCACTGGCTGGGTCCCAGCATCTTGAATTCCGGAACTGCCAAAGCAGCACTTTCAAACTGTTGGTGACAGTTTGAAAAAGTTTGGTTTTCTGTTTCCTATGTCCTACCTCAATACGGGGGGGGGGGGGGGGGGGGGGGGGGGGGGGGGGGGGGGAATCTTGGTGGGTGTGGCCTGAGCATCAAGACTTTTAAACTCCCTAGATATTTGAGGCCTCTCATAGAAAGGGTCTGGCTGAATTATTTTAAGTCTGTTTTTCAAGTGGGAAAACAGAGGCCAGGAGAGGTTAGAAGACCTCTGCCGTAGTCACGGGGAAGGTAAAATGTAGAGATAGGGACTGGATAAAAGTTCAGTCAGTAAAGGGCATGCCTTAGTGACAACCTGAATTCAAGCCTCCAGAATTATAAAAAGCATAAAAATATATAAAAAATGTATGCCTTCATTGTAAGAAGCTAGGTATGGTAGTCTACTGTAGTCTCAACACTAGAGAAGTGGAGATGGTAAATCCCTGGGGTTCACTGGCCAACCAGCCTCACCTACTGGTTAAGCTTTAGGTTAATGAAAGAACTTGTCTGAAACAAACAAACAAACAAAAAACCAAAAACAACACAACAAAAAACCAAGGTGGGTGGCAGCTACACACGTATGATGCGTTCTTGGGATTCGGACCCCGAGCCCCTCAGTCAGCTGGCTGCTAACTAACTGCTCCGAACTTCCCCGGTGCATCTGATACAGCCCAGTGCTATGCCTCAGTGAGAGTGCAGCTTGGGTGCTGGGGGTGGAGGAAGGGCCATCCCTGCTCTCTGTGTGCTGGCTATGCTGGAGGCTACAGCCTGGGGCCCCGATGGATGTCACATGGGAAGCGTCAGTGGACATGAAGCTTCTCAAGCTGCCCTGGTATTCCCCCAAACTACATGATACCTTGTGATAAAAACGCCGTCTGGCTGCTGTGCCTGGCCGAGTTTGTCATCCTCGGTTCCCAGCACCGTTGCTAGTACAGCTGCTCCCTCAATGTCCACAGAGGACTGGCTCCAGGAATCCCAAGGATACCAGACTCTGAGGATGCTCAGGCTTCTCATGTAAAACGATGTGCTGTTTGATATGTTCAGGATCACGGCCGGGTTACATAGAATAACTAATGCAGTGTGACTTTACAGATCGGCGCCTCATTGCCTCTGGGTGTGGTGACATACGTACATAATCCCAGCTCTCTGGAGGCTGAGACCAAAAGACCCTTTTGAGCTGGAGTCTAGCCTGGCTACATAGGGAGTTCTGGGCTATGCTGGACTACAAAGTAAGACACTGTCTAAATAAACAAGTATCAGAAACAATAGAAGAAAACCAGAAAATACATACATGCTCAATACAGGCATTTTTCTTTTAGTTAGTTAGTTAGTTAGTTAGTTAGTTAGTTAGTTAGTTAGTTAGTTGGTTAGTTTGTTTGTTTTTTAATAGCTTTGATTCAAAGTTAGTTGAGTGCATGGGTGTGGAACCAGCATCGACAGAGGGGAAGGCAGACTGTATAATGTCAGGTTGACCCAGCATCGAGCTGTGCCCTGTTCTGACTGCCCCTGCTTTCCTCCACAGTACTCTCCCAGCATGAGGGCCACCTACATGTCCGTGGCGGATGACCAACTGAGACACTACGAGTTCCCATCCTAGCAACTTTCAGGGTACCTGCCGCCTCCTGCCAGCTTGGTTCTCAACGGATGCAGACCCCAGCTATGTTTCTGTAACAGAAACTGAAAGTTCCTGGACCAGCAGGCTCCTGTGCCTGCAGAGACACAGTTGGGACTCTTGACCACAGGTGGATACAAGGCCCGTGACTAGACCAGCCTCTTCGGCCAAGCTCTCCATCCTAGAACTCCCCAGGACTCGGCTGCTGTCCCAGAACCAGCTGCCTGGTTCAGCTCCCTTAAGCCCCACCCTCAGCAGATGAGAAGCGGCAGTGAGGAGGGGACCACCAGGCCTAAGAGCCCTACTCTCTCAAGGTCCTGCCACCGGGCCCCTGCCTCTTGTTAGTGTGGCCCTAAGCCCAGGCCACACCTTCTAGCTACTCTGTCCTTGGTTCCTAGCAGGTGACAATTGGAGATGTGTTAGAACACATGGTCCAGGAACCACATTCTGGGACCACACAGACTCTGCCTAGATCTCAGAAGGATAGCATTAAGAGTACTTCCTGGAGGGCATTGGTGGCCTCAAGCTGGGCACTGCAGCCTGGCAGCCTTGGGCAGGAGCATGAGAGAAAACCTGCTACATTCTGCTTCTAACCTCCACCAGCCACCTCTGAAGCCAGGTCTCAGCTGCAGGTGGGAACAGTCTCAGGTATGAACAGATACTTTGAAAGCAACTGAGCTCTTGTTCCCAGTATTTTGAAACATTTTGATGATCCAAAGACTCACATCTCCCTCACAGGCCCCTCCAAACAGGCTCAGGTCTCACGCCTGTTTCTATACTTTGGCTCTCACATAAGCCATTTTGCAGATCTGGAGGAGAGGCTGGGGAGTGGGTTGTGGGCTTTTTGTTTTGCTGCAGTCTCATTATACAGCCCTGACTGGCCTTGGCCTAGAACTCACAGAGATCCACCTGCCTCTGCCTCTGGAGTACTGGGATTAAAGGCGTGCGCCACCACACCTGGCCAGAAACAGATTTTTGGGGGAGTTTTGAGACAGGGTTTCTCTGTGTAGCCCTGGCTGTCCTGGAGCTCTCTGTGTAGACCAGGCTGGCCTCGAATTTGGAGATCCACCTGCCTCTGCCTCCTGAGTGCTGGGACTAAGCCTTGAGCCATTGTGCACAGTCCTTTTTTGTGTAATAAAGATTCATGAGACACCATGGTCCCAGATGGCTAGAGAAGGACATGTGGGGCCCTGTAAAGAGAGAGACATGTTAACTAAGGAGGCTGCGGGGGCTTCTCTATTCTGAGGAACAGCCATTTTCTGGCTAGGAGAAAATAATGACCCCTCTCCTGCCTGCTGAGGGACCAGGTTAGGCTATTTGGTGCTTCCAACCTCCTGCCAATCCAGAGTACACTACACACTGAAGCCCCGTGGTCTTGCACACGTAAGCAGGGCCTGGGTGATGGTGTGTGACAGGGCTGTTTCCATATCAGAAGAGCCACATTGTCCATCACACTGGCAGCTCCCAGCCAAGCCACCAGGCACCAGCCTCCCTGTGTTTCATACTAACCCGTGCATACTGTGAGCCCCCTTTCCATGTCTGTGTCCTGTGCAGACCTTGGGCTGCAACGCCAAGGCATTGCTTCTAATGTTTCCTCCACAGCAGCTGGAGGACTTTTTAATGCATGTATGTTAAACTAAAACGCCTCCGGGTTCTACAGGAGTCAGGTGGGCAATGCACCTCTGCTTGATACATGTCCCCCCCCCCCCCCCCCCCCCCCCCCCCGCCCACCTGAGCCAAGAATAAACCACTTCTCTTAAGATGTGCAGTTGACTGGGTCACTTACTTGTTAAGCTTTGGGGACTAGCGAAGGTGCGTGTCCCCTCCACAGAGGTCATAGAGGGAGGGTGTACAAGAGACTCCTCCAGCAGCAGTATCAGATTTCATGAGAAGTGAGACAGGGGGCTATGAGGGGCTGGATAGACAGCTCAGCAGGTAAGAGGACTTGCTGCTCTTCCAGAGGATCTGAGTTTGGTTCCCAACACCCACATCAAGCAGTTCATAACCTCCCGTAGCTCCATCTCCAGGAGATCCACTGCCCTCCTTCTGATCTTTGAGGATAACCACATATATCTGACATACGCACAGAGAGACATATATACACAGAAATAGAAATCAAAAAGCAAGTCTTGGGGTGGTAGAGATGGCTCAGTAGTTAAGAGCACTTGTTGCCTTTGCTGAGGACCCGGGTTCGGTTCCCAGCACCTACATGACAACTCCCAACCATCTGTCATTCCAGTTTCATAGGATCTAATGCCCTCTTCTGGTCTCCATGGGCACCCACACATATTCACATACATGAAGGAAAACACTCGTACACAGGTCTCATTATGAAGCCTTGGTTGACGTGAAACTCATTGTGTAGACCAGGATGGCCTAGAACTCATTGAGACCTGCCTACCTCCACCTTCCAACTGCTGAGACTAAAAGGTATGTGCCACTATGCTCAGAATAAAACATTTTTTGTTTTGTTTTGTTTTGAGACAGGGTTTCTCTATGTAGCCTTGACTGTCTCAGAACTCACTCTGTAGACCAGCTAGCCTTGGTGACTTCTGCCTCCCAAATGATGGGACTAAAGGTATGCACCACCACACCTAACTATAAAATCTTTTTTTTTTTTAAGAAAAAGAGGGGGGCTATGAGTGAATATCTAAAGTCACAGGTGCCTGTGGCCTTTACCTATTTTTTTTTTGTTTTGTTTTTTGTTTATTTGCTGCTGGTGGTAGTAGTGATGGTAGTGGTGGTGATGGTGTATGTGTGTGGGATTACTTGCATGTATGTGTGTGTGTGGTGTTGTGTATGTGTGTGTTACACACATAGGCCAGAGGACAAAGGACATTGGCTCTTCTGCTCTACCACGCCCCCCCCCCCCCCCCCCCCCCCCCCGCTCCATCTTATTCCCTTGAGATGGGGGTCTCTCACTAGGCTGGCAGCCAGAAATCCTCCTGTCTCCCCCCCACTGCAGGGCTGAGGTTACAGTCATGTACCTAGTCACACCCAGCTTTTTAGGTGAGTGCTAGGGATTTTAACTCAGGTCCTCATGCTTGCACAGCAAAGCTCTTATTCAGGAGCCATCTCCCTAACCTCTGCCTGTAGCTCCTCTTACAGAACCAGGGCTAGGCCTCATTTCTACTCTGGGCTTTCTCCAGAGGTCTCCCTGAAGGTCATCCATTGCTCATCCGGCTGCTAACAGTAAGTAGTCTTTATTAAGTGCTCACCAGGAGCCAGCAGTTCTCTCTGGTATTGATATTAAGTTTTCATTAACCCTCAGAAGAAATCTATAAAACCATTGCTTTAACAGGTGCATCAAGGGTCAGGACCTGGTTGGACTGGGGACAGAACCAGGGGGTCTCACACAGAGCCTGGACCCTGTGCTGGGTGCCTCTGGGTGGGCATGGGATGGGCAGTGGTCAGGCAGGAGCTACCCAGACTGTGCTCCTCCACTGGCAGCAGTTCATGGGTCCGTGCTGTACTCCTGAGCACCTCACCTTCATAGGTTGCTTCGTGGGCCAGGGATGCCTGAACACAATGTCTCTGGGGCAGCCACCCCACCCCACCCCACCCCTCCTAGCTCAGCAGCACCGGCTCTGGTGCTACCCCACAGGCCAAGGAGCTGCTCATACTCATGTGTAGCTGAGCTTCCAGAACTCCCTGGAACATAGTGGAAGTCGTGGGTAAATTACTGTAACCTTTGGGAGTGCTTGAGGGGAGAAGCTGAGAGTCATATGCAGATGACCTCAGCAGCTCAGGAGGTCACATGGTCTTGTGGCTTTTCCTGTGCTCTGCTTACCCTAGGGAACCCACAGCCTTGGAGAGATGAGTAAGAACAGTGTGGGAACTCCCATAACCACTTTGATTTTTGGAGAAAACTGGCTCAGCACCCAGGTGACGTGGGCTGTGGGGGCTTTTATGGTCTCTGAAAACTAGATGAAACTTGAGTTGCAAAAGGCCTGTGAGAAGTAGGAACGTCAGGACTGGAGAGATGGCTCCATGGTTAAGAGCACTGACTGCTCTTCCAGAAGACCTGGGTTCCATTCTCAGCACCTACCTGGTAGATCACAACTGTCTTGTAACTCCAGTTCCAGGAGGTCCTACGCCCTCTTCTGGCCTCTGTGGGCACTGCATGCACATAGTGCGCAGACAGAAATGCAATCAGTACAGCCATACACGTAAAACAAAATAAACTCAAAGCTCTAGTTCTTTCATTTAAAAAAAAAAAAATAGGAAGGTGACTCTGAGTCCGCAAGCCCAGGGGTGAGCGGGTCAGCACCGTGTCACCTCTCTTTTCTGAGGAAGAACCACACGCTAGCTGCACGCCAGGGGAAAGTGGTGTGGTGTTGCGAGGTCACTGTGTCACTGCCCACTGCTGGGCTCATCTGACTGTCATCTGGCCGTGACATAACTGCAGACCCGGAAAGAGCCAGCTGTGGGAAGAGGACTGCTATTTAGCCTGCTCCCCGGGGAAAAGCAGGACTCCATAGAGGCCCTCAGTGAGCGCAGGCTTCCTTGGGAACGGATGTAATACCCTGATGCTTAGCTCTACTCCCACAGGGCCCCAGTGCTTCAGATTAAACCCAGGGCCTTGCTCATGCCACGTCCCTGCTCTACCACTGGGCTACACTCCCAATTCAGCACTACCTCTTATCTCCATACAGTGCTCAAGTGGCCAACCATGTTCACTGCCCAATACACTCAGATAAGACAAACTGTGTAGTCGGAAGATTTCCTGTGTCCACAAATCTCTCCCATTGCGTCCCCCAAGTAAGCACACAGAGGCTTATATATTAATTATAACTGCATGGCCATGGCTCAAGTCTTTTGCTAGCTAGCTCTTATATCTTAAATTAGCCCATAACTATTAATCTACGTATCGCCACATGTTCCGTGGCTTTACCTGCATCCCATTACATGGGCAGCTTGCTGGCATCTCTCCCCACCTTCTTCCTGTCTCTCTCTTTGAATTTCCTGCCTGCCTCTAAGCTGCCTTGCCATAGGCCAAACTGCTTTATTTATCAACTAATCAGAGCAACACATATTCGCAGCGTTCAGAAAGACATTCCCCCATCAGAACGGTCCTTACCAGCCTCCTAACCCACAAAGCCTAAACATTTGATATCCCCTTACTTTCTCTCAGTTCAAGAGTAGCAGAGGTATCTGGGAAGTCAAGGTCACGGTATGGGAAGGAGTTTACAAATGATCATCTAAAAGAACCAGCTCTGATTGCTTGGATACAGGGTAGCTTTTGTGGACAAACTCCCATGATCTTGAGCTTCCTGTTTTAGTTCACTCTCTCTCTCTCTCTCTCTCTCTCTCTCTCTCTCTCTCTCTCTGTGCGTGTACGTGTGCGTGTGCGTGTGCGTGTGCGTGTGCATGTGTGTGTGTGTGTGTGTGTGTTATGTGTTTGGTTTGGTGGTTTTGCTTTGAGACGAGGTTTCACTATATAGTCCTGGCTAACCTGGAACTTACCATGTAGACCAGGCTAGCCCGGAAATCAGAAACCTGTCTGCTTCTACATCAGGAGTGCTGGGATCAAAAGGCACCCAACTTGATCTAGTTTTGTTTGTTGTTTGTTTTGAGACTGTTTCATATAGCCTAGGCTGGCCTCAAACCTAGTATGTAAGGTTGACCTTGAACTTCTGATTCTCTTGCTTCCAGCTCAAAAGCATAAGTTATTATGTTTTCACTCAATTTTAAAATTAGAAAAACAGGAAACAAAACAACAACAACAACAAAGGTGAAAGCAGAAGGTGTTGAGGAGTGGATAGCATCAAAGCACATTTTATACACATGTGCATGTGTGTACGTATAATGAAAGCCCTTATCCTGTACTATTTTATATAATCTACACTCATAAAAAAAAATCACTAACTAATCTTTCTGTAGAAGAGTTCTAAGGCCTGGTGTGATGGAGCTTGTACTTATAGCGCTTAGGAGGCAGAGGCAGGAGGATCAGAAGTTCAAAACCAGCCTGAGTTACATGAGACCTTGTCTTAAAAAAATGAAAATGGGGGTGGTTGGCGGGGGTGGAGAAAGCCAGTGGTATAATGGACTAGGGACCCACCTGGAGTTTGTCCAGGGCAGGGGTTGATCTAAGCAGGAACTTCTGTGCCCAGTTACACTGTGATTGGGTGGAAATCCGAGAAGCCGAGAAA